GCACGAGTGTAAAGAGCTAGACCATGTACACGTTTATAAACTGAAGCAAGATCTATTTGGGCTCCGTCCGGTTCAGTGACTAGATTTCCTATATCCATGGGACCCGGTTGATTCGAATCAAGGTTGTCTTCATTTTCATCAAGTGTTCCGAATAATTTGAGGCCATCCTGTGCTGCAAGATTCAAGACGTGTGCAACACATCCTAGGAGATCTTTTCCTGCATCAAACAACCCTCCAGTTTGATGCTGAATTGCTCGGGCCATACTCCTATTTGAAGACGCATTGTCAGCTGTAATGGCAACAATGTTATTTGAACCTTTGTAGGTTTTGAGGGTCTCGCAAAATAAATCGGCAAAGGACTGTCCTGTGTGTGATCCTACAAAACAGGAACATCAGCAAGTGATTATTCAAAGTTCGAAAATCTATAGAGAAATTATCACCTTCAATATGAGGGATCCGAAGTATTACATCTACCTTCTCAAAGTTTTCATTGATTGTATGAGCTGTTATGGCCATGAAAGCGGTCATGTTTGGAGATGTCCAAGCATCCAGAGTATATGCAACACCAGTTGCATTTGCCAATACTTGTTCTTGTAAGAACTCTTGATGAAATAAAAAAACTTCGCGTAAATGTCGAGAAATTGCATCCTTTTTCACTATAAGGGCCTCAGTCTGAGGATTGCAGATTTTGAGAAGATCTACAAAAGACTTCTTCTCCATCATTTCAAAAGAAAGATCACAATCACATAGAAAATAGGTCATTGCAGTCTTGAGATTGTGGCTCGTCAATGGTTTCTGTAGAATAACATATCAGTTCAAAATTGAGTACACATTAAGGAAAACAACACACATTATCATCGGTCTTGTTAGTCCTATTTTCAATCATCGCTTGTCGTTTGGCTCGTTTAACCGGATCACCTATCTTGTGTACTAAACACAAGTGATCGGACATGCTCTTTGTACTGCCTGTGGAATCCTTCTTCAAAGTTTTGCCACATGCAGAGTCATCATCAAGGACAACATTGCATTCAACTTTTCCTTCTTGAGGTAGTTCTTGAAAGTAGGTCCAAACCCAACTACGTTTGCCTGAGGTAACTGCTAGTTGAGAGTTTCCAATGGATGAGGAATCTGTAGTAATACTAACATCTTCCATCTTGAAAAGGTTGATGATGAAAAAGATGGAATCACACTTGAAAGTTAAAACTGAAAATAAAATGGGTCAATAGTTCTATCTTCTTAAGATGAGAGTTGACTCTTGAGACTCGAGACGGACAAGCGTTCTCAAAAATCCTCTCGATTCCTGATTAAAATACATCTTGGTCTTTATTCTTTCAATTGATTTAGTGTGTATTTATTTCAACAGTCTTAGTTTGTTTGGATGAGTTGAACCACTTTGAACAAACTGATTTGATGGTGTCATTGGCACTCATTGCATTGAAAGACAACAAAAATTAAACAAATTGAAAAGTTTCAACTTTTAAGTATCACTTCTCTTTCAAATTACTCTTTTTGTACGTTATAAATTATAATTTCCAAACATCTGAATGACATGAAGAATCAAGATCCGTTTAAAGGAATCTAAAACTTGAAATAGAAGCAATGATAAAGAACCGATGATAAAATGATTAGCTCAGATGTTTGTAGGATTCTTCATGAAAGACCTGATCACAATTGAACCTTACTTTCAAACTTCCATTGATCCCATCGACTCGACATTGATTGGAATAACCTTGAGATTTTGTTAAGTATCGTTGTTGAAGGTCCTTGATTCCTTTGTGGTCTACCGTGAACGGTCTAATCGTTCGTTTTTGTATTTGCGAAAGGGCGATATTCCCCGAAAATACCGATGTCATTCCCCGTCGCCAAATTCGGGGACGGGGATTGTTCCCCTAACCTAATTAGGGGAAGGGGATCATTGCCCGTCCCCTAATTCGGGGATCATTCCTCGTCCCCTAATTAGGGGACGGGGATCGACCGGGGCGAGGGCCTAGTTGCATGTGTCGAAAAGAAAAACGACTTTTTTTTTGTTTTGAAGAATATGCACGATTTGTGCATATATATGCAAAAATCCGTGTGCGCCTTTTGTCGCACTTGGGTTTACCGAATGACGAAATTGGGTCACATGTGGACTGAATATCACTGCACATTTTTGGTGGTGCGCATTTGGTCGCACATGTAACTTTTGTGTTACCGAAGGGGCTGGTAGGGAACCACGGCTGTACATTGTTCAAATTCGTACCTCACATACTGCCCTAAACAATCTGTGTGACCCTCCATACATTACAAGTTATGGCATGGCTGTGGATGCTATAATGGATCATTTTATGACCAACGGTACTCCTAATAATTATCCCCTTGCCACTTAGAATGAGGTTTACAGTGAATAAAACAACTTATGTCAGGCGGAAGAAAATACTCAAGGAGCTTCTTCACACCAACTCCCTGAGCCTTGTTATAGCCAATTTTGGTACACCCGATGATCTCAATATTGGATTCTTGGTATAATTCTACTTTGTCAGGCATCTCAAAGGGCTAATACAAACACTCAATATCAGTAAACTTCAACTTCAAGGTAATGGAAGATAAACCTATATCCATAGGTGATCCATACAAGTTCTCTTAGCTGAACCACTTGATGAGGTTAACAACAGAGATCTAGCATGGTTAATAGTAGAAGATCAAGACTAATAAAAAACAAAATAACAAAGAGAATAAATAGTAGGGCAACTGCTGATATTGCATAAATTGTAAATATTCAACTAACCTTTCCATTCAAGCATCGTTACTGCACCTTGTTAATTCTTGTTGGCCAGAGTCAGGGCAGGTGAAGTGGTGCATTGAGCAAGAGGCTCAGTAACAGTTGAATTAGGAGATTCAAAAATACTTATAGAAGATCTGGAGTCCTCAGGTAGACAACAAATCCTGGTCTTGCTAGGCAGTCAAATCTGTCTATTGGACTTTGTTAGAACCTGAAGGGTGTTTTGGATTGCTGAGATTTTGGAAGAATGTCTTGAGAGTGGCATTGTGAAAAAAAGTGAAAAAGTGCAAACGACTGATCACTTTTTTTATTACAAAGGACATCAAGTGGAAACAATCAGGTGGATAGGTTCATACTCTTTATCATAAAACTCAAATCTGGACTACAATAGGTGCCAATGCTTTTATTCCTGTGGTTGTGATTCCTATTAAAATCCTGGTACAGTAAGTGTGTAGGAGAAGTGACTTGTGGATTCATTCCAAGGGGGAGAGAGGAGGTTGTTATATGGTCCTCCATCTCTCTACAACGTACAAATATGGCAATATGTGGTACAACAAAAGACAACAGGGATATTGTTGTAGTACAACTGATGATAGAGTAAGAAAGACCAAATCCACTACTGCTGGATTTGGATTACAATTACAGGATGCTTTGTGCCCAGATTTTTTTTGGCAGTAAATTCAAATTCTGGGCCCGAACTTTTGCCCAGAAAATCAAATTTTACTGCCAAAATAATTCCGGGCACAAAGCCAGGCACGTGCCCGGATTCTACTTTGTATCCCGCAAATGAGTCTATGTGTAAGATTGGGACAGATCTGGATAGGATTAGTCCAATCATGAAAGCAATCTAAAGCAAACAAAAGAAATAGAAAGTAATGAAAATCACATACAAGTAGAATAAAGGGATAAGACGAAATAGGCAATAACATGGTCATGGTAAAAAATGTGCTTTCCAGTGCTTCTTTTTATACTTTTGGTCTGCTTTTACTCCAATCAAATTATGATTGTTGGTTTGCATTGTTTGCACAATTGTGTAAATCACTGCTCATCAAAGGCAGTTGTTGTTCAATTCAAGCGGTCTTGGTTTAAATACATATGGCCATCTTGTGTTTAATATTCAGCCCTTTCTTTCTACCTACAATTCTAACCACCAGATAGTCTGCTCTCACTACCTCACATTTCTTGCATACAACTTTAGCACTAGAAACTGGTTTCAAATCTACGTGATAGGATAAATGAGAGTTAATCAAGAACAATTTTGTAATGAAAGACTTCCACATATATGGGAAATTTCTCTTATCCTGCCACTTTTCTTGCTTTTGGTCTATTTGCGTGATTTTTGAACAAGCAAAAGTGATGCCTGCAGAGAGAGAATGGACCTACTGGTCCAATACCAAAAGATTGTGAGGGCAGCACCAGCTGCCAGGACCCTAGTACAATCTTAAATTCCAGTGGCCCACAAGCGCGCCTTGATGTAAATTGATGATGAAAGGCTCCAGAATCAAGATGGGGGTATTGATCAATTGTATGGAATTGATTGTTGGCTGAGTGACATGTGTCTCCCACCTTGTTTTCTACTTAGGGTTTTTCTTTCATCATGGTTTGTTTTTTTGCTGTTATTGGTGATTTTATTTATAGTTCTTTTGAAATCCTTTTCTTTCTTTTTTGTCACTTTTTTCATTTTATCTCTATTTATTTTGATCCTAGGCTTTGTTTTTTGTTGATCTTTTGAAATAATCTTGGGTGTGTTTGACATCAATGTGGTCTTGTTTTTTTTTGGTTGTGTAATGTTTAGAAATCTGGTTCTTTTTATATTAGATGAAAATGGAGACAATAAGTCAAAAAATTATCCAGTGTTTCATCAGAGGCACCATATCCAGCGGATCATTAATCAACGCTATTTCACCCCGATACATACGTAAACTTACAATACACAAATGAGTACTTTTTTTCTTTTTCCACAACCTCAAACAAGAGAATGCAACTCCAAGCAAACAAACTCATTTGGATCGAAGCTTCACAATCCAGCAAGGAGGGAATCTTCAAGATGCGTAGTTAATACCTCAGATCTCCACACTTCAATATGCCAAAAGAACACAACTAATTTGACATCTCAGTCTATTGGATTACACCCCAAGATGCTTGTTTTTTTTATTCAATACACAACAGTTTAAATATGTCTACATGATATAGACTATTTAGTTTTGACAAGAGTTGAAGGAAACTCGCTAAGACCGATTCCTAAGAGTTGTGATTTGACCATCGCATTGAACCCGGTACCTTCCTTGGAAAGTTCAGCATAAGTACCAGATTCTAAGATTTTTCCATCATCAACACTTCAAAAGTATCACGAAACGAAAAAAATGAGAAATGATCAGATTACAAAAGACATCGTCAAGAAACCGATGATGTAAACTGTTTATACTCACAAGATTATCCTATCCGCCGTCTTCAAGGTGCTGAGTCGATGAGCAATAATCACAGACGTCAAGCTTCTTTCGTTCATAACACTTTGAATGGCTAGGTTCACTTCATTCTCAGAAGCAGTATCCAGTGCACTAGTGGCTTCATCTAAGATCAAAAACTTGGGTTGACGAATCAAGGCTCGAGCAATAGCCAATCTTTGTCGTTGACCACCACTCAATTGCATCCCTTTAGGGCCAATCTCGGTATCAAACTTTTTAGGTAAGGCATTGATGAAGTCTAAGGCGTTGGCCAGAAGTGCACACTTCTCGAGAGTAGAATGTGATACAGGACTAGAGATTCCGTAAGTGATATTACTGGCAATCGTTCCACTTAATAGAGCCGGTTCCTGTGGAACTAAACCAAAGTTTGATCGCCACGATTCGGGTGTGAAAGACTTGATGTTATCTTCTCCATACATGATTTCGCCCGACTTAGGGTCGTAGAAACGTAAGAGACTGGCAGAAATGTAATAATCAAGCATTTGTGTCAGTGTGGTCGAAACACTTAGGATGATTCTAGTTTGAATAGTCAGAGATTCTCACAGTTGCGCGATTGTACTTTTTCCACTACCTGATGACCCAGCGATAGCTAAAGATGTCCCGGGTTGAATTTTCAATTCTAAACCTTTGAGGATCTCAGCAGTCGGTCGAGCAGGGTAATTGAAATGGACTCCTTTGAATGTGATTTCCTTGAGCGGTGCAGTGGTACTAAGAACTCGACCTTCACCAAGAACGACCGATGACTACCAAGTTTGCAACTCATTTAGATGACGTCCTACCCGAGCCCCAAACTCAATCATGGGTAAGAAGAAAGGCTTACTGGTCGAGCATCCAAGAGTTCGAAGACACGTGAGCTAGCGCCAAGAGCTTTCATGATGGTTGCAAACCAGCTACTTAGTCCTACCAAAGAGCTTCCCACGTATGCTGTGTAGAGCATCAAGGATGATCTGAGCGATTTTACAATGACATTGTGTGCCCGTTCGAGAATTTCAAAGTCAATGATGCTGATTACTGACCCTGATTAAATAAGAAACTCACAAGTCTCCCACTGAAATCTCGCCACGGCCTACAAGTGTACCACCGTATGTCAAGAGTGCGATCACGGTCAGGTTACCGGTGAAACCACTGCATTCCAAAGGTAAAAGCAAAAAAAATAGAATAGGTACGAGTCAGCGATTCATGACAAACTGGAATCAAAATCAATGTAGTGTAGAAGTCGGTCGCGCCTGCCTCCGAAAAACAACCCAGATGCGAATGCCTCTTTACGAGCAAGTTCAAAGATTTCATCAACTTTATTTGAAAAGGTCTTTTGTTCGATTGATACTGAATTAAAACTATGAACAGTCTTGACTTGAGTGAGTCGTTCCTCGGCAAAGTTAGTCATTTCACCAAGTCCTTCTTGAGTCAATTTGCTAAGCTTTTTCAAGTATCTTCCAAAGAAGACTGCACCGATCGCAGTCGGGGGAACAACTGTTAACATGACCAGAGTTAGTTTAGTTGAGATGTAAAACATCATTGAAACTCCGGCAACTGATGTAATTAACGCCCTTGTTCCATCGGCTAGATCTCGGGTGATCGAATCACCAACTATATATGAATCACTACCCAATCGTGAGATCAAATCGCCCGTACCACCTCTTCCATTTGATAAGCCTGCACCGCGTAGATCATGCCAAGTGATATCAGACTTGATGATAGCGTTAAAAGCCGATTTCCTGATTCTTTGGACCACACGTTGGCCAGCAATCCTCATGATTATCACTCGTAGAGTATTAGCTCCAGCCCCGATCAGAAAAAAGCCAGTTAAAAGTCCCGCAACACCAGGTAGAGAAAGAGGTAAGGCTTGTGATAATTCCGGAGATGTGAATACGTCGATCACTTTTCCCCAAAGAAAAGGTACTGAGAGTGTCACACTTGATGATACCAATAACAAGCCTCCAGCTACTGCAAGAATCTTTTTTTCAGGTTCTGCCAAATAAACCAGTCGTTTAAGTTCTGTTAATGAGATTTTTGAAGATGATTTTGAGGGCTTGGTCGTCGTCTTATCTACTGATTGTTCAGAAGATGATGACGGCTCGGAAAGCTGATTCTGATTTGCATTTGAATGAGTCATAGAAGTACGAAAATGTCTCGATTGTAGAACGCATCTCGAATTTGTAAACAGGTTAGATGAATAATTGATTTGGCTTGAAGTGAGTGTCCGAGGAATGGGAGTGATATAGGATGTCTTTTGAAGTGGTATACGAAGAGCGATCGTGTTGTAAGATCTGGTGAATCTAGTGGCTTTGAGATTTCCTCTGAGAAGATGGAAGCAGCAGCTACCCATGCTGATGGAAGACCGAGAAAGCGTGTTAGTTGAATGAGTTGATGAGAGTGACTGTTGGTTAAGGTTGAATGACTGCTACATGCCAAACTCTGGATGATGATCCTGATGATCGATTTGGATTGACTAAACTCAAAAGCCGGTCTCAGGAACTACTGTTTCACTCAATACATTTTGGGAACTCACACCACACCTGCCTGAACTCCTATCCGGTTTACAGGAGATAGGTTGAGGCCGCAGCAGTTTAGATCCTGTTGAAGGTGAAAACCAAAAATTCAACGTCCAAGTTGGTACTCCACCTGTGTGAAGAGAATTATAGCTTGCTTCCAAGGGCATATTGTTTATACACAGGCCTAGAGAACACCACAATTGCGATCAAGATTCAATTACATTTTAGAGCAGCTGGAAAGAAAGTAACAACATCTTCTGTTAAGGCCAGATTCAGGGGTGTTCTTGACAAGGGAAGAGAGGTCTAAGTCTGGTCATCTCGATGTAGTATTGAGATTGTCGGATGGGGAAAGGAGCTATTTACGATGTGGCATCATCCGTCAAGGTACACTGCAATCTGTGATATGTACACTCAGATGTCACAGAATAAGTTCATCATATCCTTGCACCTATAGAGCCAGAAATGGTAATGGAAACATCAAGTTTTCAGAGAAGGAGATTGACAGTGTCAGCCCGCCAACATTCTAAAGGTTTGGTTTCTAGCCCAAAAGGAGTTTGTTTATTCCACATTTAGATCTCCTGAGCTATATACCACAGCAGTGCTGCCATCTAAAGGTTAGACCCATCAAAAAGAGTTGTCATTGAAGTTCAGTGTTTAGCTGACAGTCTTAGAGCATCCACTATGGTGAGGGTGATTTATCGTAGATTTTGCGTTCCTGAGCGCAAAAATTAATCATGCGTGTTTTACCAAAGTTGGTAAACGCATGAAATCCACTATGGGATGATGTAACACATGATTCACCAACAGTAAATCACTGGAAATCAACCTGGTCCACAGTGGTATGATTTTGAAAGGAAATATCTTATTTCTCATAACTTTCATCCAAAAAACATCCATCAAATGCTTGCTGTGAGTTCTTCAAAAGACCAATCAATGCCCTTTTGGAGTCTTCAAATGACAATGATGAACAGCAGCATCATGGCTGAATGGTCTTTGACTTCTTGTTTGATAAACCTCACTGTCACACACCTCCTCCACCTCCTCACTTTCACATCCAAAAAGATCAAGATGCTCAAGTTGCTCAAGTTCAAACGTAAATTTCAAACAAGTGTACAACTTTATTAAAAATGATTGAAGATTTACAAATTCATAATTGATTTGGGTTCAAAAGTGTTGTAGGCTCACGCTATGGGACGGAGGCCAGGAAGGTGTCTGTGTATCTCTATATGTAGTACAAGGTACGTGCGCATTCAGAGAACACTCTCTCTGTCTGTGACATGTGGTGCGTATAAGTGTCACACGTGGTACATAGAGCTTATAACATTGTCCCCCCTTTAATGCCCAAGCTCCCTCTTGACGGCTCTGCATTCTGTCCACGGGAGACGTGCAAAAAAACCACGTGGGAAAAAACGCCCCCCTCTCACTTTCTCCATGTCCTGCGGTGTTGTTGAATTGCGTTTGGAAATTTTGAATGGAATTGTTGAATTGAGTCCTTGCTGTTTTTTAAATTTACCTCTGGCTCCCATGAATTATGGTCCCATCCGTAACCTTTCCAACTGATGAGATATTCTTTCTTGTTTCTTCTTTTTCTACAATCTAAAATTTCGTTGATCTCCCATTCTTCTTCGCCGTTGATTTCCACTGGTGCTGGCTGGTCCTGTTTCCGTTCGAGTATTGTGTCTGGTTCGTATTTACGTAGCACAGATACGTGAAACACTGGGTGTACACTTTTCATGGAGAGCGGTAAAGTCAGTTTATATGCTGATTTTGAAATACATTGGATAATTGGGAAAGGCCCTAGCCATCTATGATCTAGTTTTGTGCTTGGTCTTGTCGTAGATATGTTTCTACTGCTGAGCCACACCTCGTCGCCTACGTTCCAACGCGGTGTTGTTCGGACGGCTTTGTTGAATTGTCGTTCCATGGCTGCTTGTGCTCTTGTCAGGCTCTCCCTTAGTTCTGTCTGTACTTCACTGATGAGCTTCAGACGAGCTTCGACCGTTGGTATGCATTGTGCCGTGGATGGAATCCTGTTGAACGTCGGGTTAAAGCCGTAGTTTGCCATGAACGGCGAAACTCCTGTGGATGTATGGTCAGTGTTGTTGTACGCAAATTCTGCGATGGGAAGTAAGGGTTGCCAATTATCCTGCCGGTACGTTACAGAGTGTCGTAAATAATGCTCGACCGCCTTGTTGGCGATTTCTGACTGGCCATCGGTGCGTGGATGGTATGCCGTTGACGGGTGTAGTTGTATTCCTAGTTGCTTGTCCAATTTGCAAGTGATTTGAGAAATAAAGATACTTCCATGGTCCGAGACAATGGTCTTCGGGGTCCCGTGTAGTTTCCACACACTGTTGATCATCAGGTCAGCGAGTTCATCAGCCTTCATACTATCTCTGCAAGGTAAAAAGTGAGCCATTTTTGTCATCCTGTCTACCACTGTCAAGATTCCGTTACACCCTTTTGATTCTGGTAGTCCTGTGATCAGATCGTAGCTGATGTCAGTCCAAGGGCCGGCTGGGATCAGTAACGGCTCGAGTGTTCCAAAAGGCTTTTGTGTCATGGACTTAACACGCTGACACGAGTCACAGCCGTCAACAAATTGGTTTACATAGGATTTCTGACAAGGCCAGACAAAGCTGCGTTGCACAAGGTTCAGAGTTCTTGATCTCCCCGGGTGGCCTGCTAGCAGTGTGCTGTGTCGGCTCTTCACAATATCGGCTTTCAGGGTTGGGTCGTTGGGTACTTTGATCCTCCCTTTGTTGTAGAGGACTCCATCTTTGACTGAGAGGTGTGTTTTGATGGTTCTAACTTTCTCTGATATCGGGTTGTTGATTGTCTCGATAATATTCTTGATGCGTTCGTCTTCCACTGAAAATTGTCTAATACGCTTGATGATGTGGTCGTTGGTTGGTGCCTCCGGCTCCGCTGGTCTCTCTCCTCCGTCATCTGTACCCAGCACGTCCACCTCAAACCAGTGTTCTGCATCATCTAGGTGTACGGTTTTGTCTTCGAAAAATGACTCGACAGCACTTAGTTCAACAAATGTGTCCGGTGTCAGGTTTTCGGGTCGTATCAGCTGGCCAAAGGTTAGCTTTTTGTTGTTGGTAGGTTTGATGTCTGGTCTTCGTGATAGAGCGTCTGGTTTTGCTGATTTACGGCCCGGTCTGAATTTAATTTGGAAATCAAAACAAGCTAACGTTTCCGCCCACCTGGCTTGGCGTCGAGTCAATTGTTTGGTTGTCATGAAGCTCTCCAGATTCCGGTGATCAGTATATACAATAACCTCTAATTGGTGGGGGTTACCTTCTAGGTAGTGCCTCCACTCTCTGAAAGAGGCTACTATCGCTAGGAGTTCTTTGTCAAAGATCTCATAGTTTCGTTCGGCCTGCATCAGTGAGCGTGAAAGGTAAGCTATTGGGTGCAATTCGCCGTCGTCATCTGAGCGTTGAGAGAGTACTGCTCCAAGGGCGAAGTCTGAGCAGTCGCATTCGAGAATGAATGCCTTGTAAGGATTGGCTATCTTCAGGATTGGGGCGGATGTGAACGCTGTTTTCAGGGAGTTGAATGCCTCTTCGCACTTCGTGCTCCATACAAATGGTGTGTCTTTGCGGGTAAGTTCGTGGAGTGGTTGTGTCGTCGCAGAGAAGTCGCTAATAAATCTTTGGTAAAAGTTAGCAAACCCGATGAAGCGTTCTAATTCCTGAACTTTGCGCGGTGCGGGCCATTCCCATACGGCTTTGACTTTAGCTGGGTCCATCTTGATCTTGTTGCATGAGATGATTAGGCCAAGGTATTCGACTTCTGAGCGGGAGAACTCGCACTTCTCTGGCTTAAGCCACAGCTGTTGTTTACTGAGCCTTTCCAGTACGTCGGTGACTATTGCAGTGTGATTTTCGCCTCTTTTTGTGTATATCATAATATCATCAAGGAAAGCTGCGACGTCTTTACCAATCCGTCCCAGTAGGATGTCTTGTATGAAGTATTGAAAGAAACCTGGAGCTCCCGTAGGGCCAAACGGCATTGTGAGGGGCACGAATTGGCCGGACTTGCAGATGAATGCCAATTTATCCTCGTCTTCCTCGTCTACGCGTAGGTTTCCATATGCGTTTAGTAAGTCTAATTTCGTGAACTCCTCAGTGTCGAGGAGGCTGTCCACTAGATCCATGGTGAGTGGGAGCGGGTACTTGTTCTTCACTGTGAGTGAGTTCAGTTTCCGGTAGTCAAAGCAAGGTCTCAGCTTTCCATCCTTCTTGCCGGTGAATAGTACTGGCGCTGCCCACAGTGATGTAGTGCGTCGGATAGTGCCATTAGACAGGCCTTCATTGATCATTTCGTCTAGTGCAGCGTTTTCTGCCGGTGATAGAGGGATTATGCGGCTGGCCTGTGGTTGTGCTCCTGGGACAAGTTCGACTCTGAAGTTGTATTTCCTGCATGGTGGCAGTACTTGTGATTTTGACTTGTGAAACATGTTAATGAATCTGTGATAGCGTGTTGGTACGAGTTCTTTGGGGGTCTTTGC